GCGTGTTGGAGCATCCTATGCTATTAAGATACTAAATCCTGCACCAAGTAACTCTTCCAATCGCTGAATTGCAGCTGTGTCACTCAAAACAGAAAATACCCATGTCCTACATCTGCCCAGCTCTGAGCTTTCCAGCTCAGATGCCATTTAGGCTCTCTGCAGTAAAAAGCAAGTGGGATGCTACCAACATAATGACATTTGATATTTGGAGCATCCTATGCTATTAAGATACTAAATCCTGCACCAAGTAACTCTTCCAATCGCTGAATTGCAGCTGTGTCACTCAAAACAGAAAATACCCATGTCCTACATCTGCCCAGCTCTGAGCTTTCCAGCTCAGATGCCATTTAGGCTCTCTGCAGTAAAAAGCAAGTGGGATGCTACCAACATAATGACATTTGATATTATTTTGGATGCTGAAGCAGATAAGGAACATATCAGCGCATATACTGTCCCCAGCCTAAAGCAAGAGCAATGCCATTATACTAACTTCCTTGTTTGTGGAAAACAAATCCAGGAACCCTGCATCTAAGGGAGTGTCTAGACTATACGTTTTTTCCGAAAAAAGTAGCCTTTTTTTGAAAAAACTTCCCGAGTCTAGACTGCTGCTGTGTTCTTTTCAAAGTAAATCGAAAGAACGCAGCAGTTTTTTCAACCGTGGAAAACCTCGTTTTACGAGGAATAACGCCTTTTTTCAAAAGTGCTCTTTTGAAAAAAGGCATTATGTAATGCAATCTGTGCTTTTTCGAAAGAGAGCATCCAGACTGCCCGGATGCTCTCTTTCGAAAAAGCAGCTTGGTTGTAGTTTAGATGCCCTTTTTTGAAAGAGGCTCTTTCGAAAGTATCTTTCGAAAATGGCTTGCAGCCTAGACGTAGCCTAAAAGCACAAGCCTCTACAACTTAGGCAAAAGGACCAGCTCCATTAGCTTGGAGGTGGTAGCAGACTCAAACATCTGTATGTAACCAGCTCACAAGAAAGGTTCAGACCTTGTGATATTAGCTTAGTTAAGTGGGACTTTCTCATGCTACTTCCTTATTATCTGCCATTTTCGCATGGCTATTTCCAGCCCCCTCTCACCTTAATATAAGCAACTTCAGTCCTGCCACGGTTTAAATGGCAGTAAAGCATGTGTCCATGCCTCTGTGAGGTGGACTTTCAGCAGCCTGTTCACCTATTCACTGCCTTGCCTGTCTCCCACACCTCCTGGAACATAATGCCAATTCACCCTGAGCATCTGTTGGTTCAAAGAGGAATGTGTGACTACTAACCCACACATCTACTGGGTTAGTGGTGTACTATCCCACGTAGTAGCACTGAGACCACTTACAGAGAGAGAGAGAAAAAGTTTGCCCTACAGCCTTAGCTGAGAACTAGCTGACTTTTAGCTCAAGCTGTACAGGTTCATGTTCTAAGCTCCAGAAGTCACAGATCTGGTTCCGCCTACCAGTGTTACACCTACACTGAAGTTTTAACCTTGAGTTAACTGGTCATGTTAACAGAGGGTCAGCCTAGCCACAAATGTCTGTAGCCTGGATCAAGCATTTAGGAGTCTCATGCTAGCTTTTAAAAAGGTATTAACTACCTTGGCTTCACAGGCTAGCCATTAATTCAAGATAAAATGTTCTAGTGAAATACAGGCGTTGCCTCGCTGCATGTTCTGCTTTTCCATAGATTTTTGCCAGGCCACTAACATGGTCGTTTTGCTACTTACAATGGGAGGGGCTGGTAAAATAAGGCTCCCTGCTGCTTCCTGATCCAGAATGGTCACTACCGCAGAGCTGATATCCCCTAGAAGAGCTTCCACTGGATCGTCTGGTCCCAGCACCACAGAAAAGGACTCATGCCACTCCCGGTCTTCGTTAGACATGATCTCCACCTTAAACATGACGTGATCCACCCCTACAGGAATGCAGATGAGAGAGACAGAGAGCCTGATGGGTCAGCTGACATTACCCTAACAGCTCTCATAAAACCCTGCCTAGCTACTTCAGGTCAGGATCATTGAAACACGATAATATACACGTTACGGGTTGGATCTGAACTCGAATGATTTAGTGCCATTCCAGTCAGGAGCTGATTCCATAAATAAAACTGCAGCTAAAACGACTGGTCCAACTGCTCACCCGGCAGACTTACAAGTGGATGTTCTATGAGGATTAATAGAGCCTTATATTAGCTGACTGTAATAAAAATCTATGATCCAATATATATCCCAGCCCTGTTACTAGTGTCTCTGTTTTAACTCTTTAGCTCAGACATGCAGAGCTCCTGCTGTTGGACCGGTGAGGCCTGGTTTGAGTTATCTTGCAGGATCTTGAGGGGTTTCTGCAGAGCTCTTTGAGGTGCCTGTGCTGTCAGCTGTCAACAGTCTCTCGTTTATTACAATCAGCCTCCCTCTCAGATCTCATCACTGTAGCAGGAAGACGGGTCACATTTTCCGATAGCAGGATAACAGCCCTAGCAGAGGACAGGTTTGGAATAGGGATTCCTACTGACTTTAATGGCAACTGCCTGGCTATATATCCTTATGAAGAGTGTTTATAATTTATTACAAAAAACCCTCGTCACCCAGCCAGGGTGTTGCGAAGGTATGAAACACAGAATTATCTTACTCCATGGTACCAAACATGCAAGGTGCTGTGTTTGGGGCTGGCCTTTCAACCTGTTCTAAGTCACACAGGCTAGGCCAGGTTTCTGTTTCCTTACAATCACCAATTCCTGCTCACTCACTCTCCAGCTGCATGAACGTTGCTGCGAGCATGTGCGGACGGGCACGAGGGGGAATGTGGCCAGGCACCCCCAGAAAAGCGATGCTATGCTCCATCGGGGTCTCAGCTCCCCACCTCCACCATTTTTCAATTTTTTATTTTTCTCAACCTCCTAAAGTGGGCAGGGGCGATAACCCTGACATCCCCCCATGCGTGCTCTGTCAAAACATCACGTTTGACAGTGCTCTGACTGCTTTTTGTGGTCTTGCCAACGTACTGCAACAATTCCCTAACCAGACATAAGTCTGGCTGTAGAGTACATATAACCCCCCTTGTAACAGAAAAAGCAGGGCATGTTACCACACTGCTGGCAGGGGCACCGGCATGTCCCTGCAGACCCTAGACACAGGGGAAAGCAGGGAAGCTCTGTGTGCTGCCCCCACTCCCAGCACCATCTCTGCAGCTCCCATTGATGGGGAACAAAGGCCAATCGGAGCTGCAGGGTGGCACCTGCGAGCAGAGGCAGTGTACACACCACAGAGCTTAGGGGGCTGAACACGGCGGCAGCTTCCAGGAGTGCAACGGATCTAGGGCAGAGAGGGAGCCTGCCTTAACCCTGCTGTGCACCTGAATAGGAGCCCCGTTAAGTAATGCTGCCAGGTCGGAGTCTGCATCGTGAGCCCTCTGCCCCAGGTCTGAACTCCCTCCCACCCCCAGACTCCCTCTGATAGCCCACACCCTCCCCTAAAGCCCCCTGCTCCACATCAAACCCCCTGTCCCTGGTCAGAACTTTTCTCTCATCATAACTCTCTCCCAGATCCTGCACCCACACCCCTGACTTGGCACTAGCCCACAGTCCCCTCATGTACCCCAAGCCTCTCATCCCCAAGCACACCCCAGAGCCTGCACCCCCATCTGGAGTCCTTACCCCCTCCCACACCACAATTGTATGACTCAGTCCAGTGCTGCCTTCTGCACCTGAACATCATTTGTGGCCCCACCTTGAACCTCTGCAGCCCCTGTAGGACTGGAACTATGAGAGATGGCTCATCCATGTGCAGGGGAAGCCGTGAGCCTCTGCCCCTCCCCTTTCCCATGGGGCTGTGTGTGGCCCACAGTTGATTTTTTCTGTGCATCAGCAGCCCCTGATAGAAAAAAGGTTCCCTACCCCCATTTAAAGGATTACATAGGTGCTTCCTACTAAAAATGTGGCATCAAATATGACTGCAGCATGTGTGTCTAGAACAAACCTCTAATCATAAATACATTCAAGGGATTTGGTGTAGCTCATGTTTTAGCTAATACATGAAATCACACACTGATGAAAAACAAAACACATAATGACCATAACGGCAGCAGAGCTGGGCCAATGCCAAGTGTGTTTGAAAATCCCCCACATAGTACATTGTTGTTTAAATGACTTGCACGTTTTCCTTGAATGTTAATTTGTTTGGGCCCATGTCGAATGTCACTAAGTAATCCCTCCACCTCATAATTCAAATCCATGTAACTTTTACCAGGGCTGAACTTGAGGACTCGACTCTTTGGATAATAATCGACTCCGGACTGGGCTGAGCCATCCCGGGTGCTGCAGCGGACCTTCGAGGTCCTGTTCTGGTCCCCCCTTCTGAGCACCTTGATGTTTAGAACAGCAATGCCCTCAGGGCCTGGTGGCTCCCGTACTTGGTATGCAGCTTCCTCAAACTCAATGGTAGGTGCTAGAGAAATGGTATGAAAAACAGAAACATGTCCTTAGCAACTCTAAGAGCCTCACAATAACTGGCGTCCCAGTACACTCTCCAGCAGCCCAGGCTGCACTGACATAGCACCTTCTAAAACTCATCAACACTACTCCGCACATCAGAGGCTAGTTTGAGAGGCACTTCTGAAGCCCAAGGGCCAAATTTATAGCTCTCTGACACTCTGCTGCAGCCAGGAGTCACACAATAATCTTGGCACTCAGATCTTCAGCACGTAGGTAGGTTGGCTTGCCCAACCTTTCCAAATGAGCTAACTGTGCTTTGTCCAGCATTAGTGGTCTGCGTACCACAGCGTACCACTGAACATGAGGTTTAGAATCAGTTTTACATGTGAGTGACTGAAACTTAATGGAGCGCTGATCAACACATCAGTGGTTTAATTCGAAGCAGTTTACATATAATGGCTAACTTTCAGACTTAGCGTAGAGGGGTGGAATGCTACTGATTTGTATGTGGAATTGAATATGCTCTCTCTAGCTCCTAATGCTATCCCATGTCTCTTACCGTCTTCATCATTGGAGACAGTAATGCTGGCCACGTCATTTTTCCCAATTCTAGCTCCGCTCCAGTGGTTTCCAAGGGGACTGCCAAGATAGATCCGGAATTGCTCCTCCGGTTCAAAAGCAGAGTCGTCATTGATATAAACAGTGCAGTTCTTTACCTACAGACAAGTACAGCATCCATCAAATACTAGCAACTAATACGAATAATTCTTCTGATTTTAATAGATGGTTTGTGTTTCCTCATTACCTAGAATTTAACACCAGGGTGTTTTAAATGAAGCCTTTGAAACTCCATGAGGAAATCACAGTGCAGCTATATAATGAAAAGTGGGTGTGTTTAAAAAAAAGAAAGACAAAAAAAAAAGAGTAGTCCTGTGGCACCTTAGAGTACGTCTAAACTACATGCCTCTGTTGGCAGAGGCATGTAGATTTGTTTTTTTGGAAAAGGTAATGAAGCCGCGATTTAAATGATCGCGGCTTCATTTACATTTACATGGCTGCCGCGCTGAGCCGACAAACAGCTGATCAGCTGTTTGTCGGCTCAGCGCGGCAGCCATGTAAATTTAAATGAAGCCGCGATCATTTAAATCGCGGCTTCATTTACCTTTGCCTATGTGTCTAATCTACATGCCTCTGCCGACAGAGGCATGTAGTCTAGACACAGCCTTAGAGACAAACAAAAATATATGTAGTATCACGAGCTTTCATGGGCAAAACCCACTTCTTCAGATGAGCTGGAAGCTGAAGAAGTGGGCTTTATTAAATGCAGATTCTCCAGGGACTCATCTTTTAATTCCAGAACAATAACAACAGCTAATCCAAAGCAGTTGAAGTATTACTTCTGAGAAACGGGGTTTGGCAAAGCCTTTGAACAGCAGAGTGCCAAGGAGAGCAGCCAGCTTTTCAAAGCCTAATCTGCTGAATGTTCTTTGTCTTCTCCCAACCCAGTTAAGTTCCACTTGCCTTCTCCCCTTTCAAAAAAGTGATGCGGGAATCCTCCGCATTTCTCCTCTCCTCGAAGTCCGCCATGACTTCTGCTGTCTGGCTCCGGGTGTAGCACCTGACAGAGGACTCATAGCTCAGGTCTCCGGTGCGGATGATAGGAATGTGCAGGACACCGTCCTTCTCCTTCACAGTGTACAAGTCCTTGCCAAATTGCATGCTGGGTACTGCAGGGGGCAAAACACCATTCACACTTGCACTGGGATACAAGCTAAAGAGCAGCCAATGCACCATACTGAGGAAATACCATGTGGGCTGACAGTTGCGCAGTGAGATGCCAAATGAGATTGTTACCAGTGCTTACAAAGAGCATTCTTGGCTTTAACCAAACAGCTGGTCATTGCTCCCATTGGGAACTGGAGAGTCTGCTGCTCTGGGTAAAGAAGCAGATTTCTCATCCTGCCAACCCTCAGTCACACACACAGAATGTTACTGAACATTTTGCTTTCCCATTTTGACTTTGCCTGAAGTAACGACCTGTCTGCACACACTGGAGAAGGAGCTATCCCCTCAGGTAAATGCGTCTGAGCAGTATGCGTACTGTATGCTGGAGATACACACAAAGAAGGGTAATACTTCGACAGGCTATTGCTCTTAGTTTTGCAATCACATCTTCTATGGCTAGGGGCAGAAAAAACCTGAGGCCAAGAGGGCAAATCTTAGCGGATTGTTCAGGAGCAGAGACAATTACATGTTATTAAAAAGCAGTTTCTCTGGGGTTATACGAGAGAGACATTTCTTCAGCAAGCAGATACCTCCCAGGCAGGAAATCACAGAGGTCAGGATCATGTTTAAAACACAGCAGGGTGAAAATATAGTGAGAGTTTAGATGAAGCCTCAACTCAGCTGCTTGAAAAGGGCCAGATTCCCTTAGCACACAAGGGAAATATGAAAGGGAAGGGGCTAGAATGCGTTTGATATAAATTCACTGGATAGCTTACCATCTTGGAAGGTGTCGTTAATGGCTACTATAGCTTGGAAGGGTTTGGTCAATTCAGCCCCATGGGGTGAGCTTAGGTATACAACAAATGTCTCCAACCCTTCAATTACTGGGTACTGGGCATCATCCAGGATTGTCAAGGTGCAGTACTAGAGGAAAAGTAAAAGAGCCAGGTTACTGACATATAAACCCTGGTACAGTAGACTTCCGATAATCCGGAACCTATGGGACTTAGGTGGTGCCGGATTATCAGATATGCCGGACTATCAGGAGGTACTATAAGCTGGTTATATATATACTGTCTACATTATATACTGTATATAAAGTGTTCTTAAGCCTTTTTCTTGTACATACTGTATACAGTACACTGTAATGTTTTCGGTTTTTTAAGCCTTTTTTACCATTTTGCTCAGTTCAGCTGCTGCTGCTGTTACCTTGTGACTCATTTTTTGCCGAAGCTCACTCACTAGGCTCTTGCCATTTTGATGCCGGACTATCAGGAGTGCCGGACTATTGGAATGTTACTGTATCTGGTCAGAGCAGAGAAAATACCACGGGACTCATCCTCTGAGTCATGTCACTAACTGGAGGTTCTTCTAGGTGCACAAACAGCAAGGGTCCATGCAAATGCCCTTCACACATAATGCACATTGCATCCAAGAGCAGGATGCAGAGATTCTTTCATCTGAACCTTCTCTACCCAGAATGCCAACTTGATTTGATCTGGTTTCTACTCATCCAGCATCCCCGATTCATCTGTCTATTGTAGGTGCTTACAGGGTTCCTGCTGCCAGGCTCTTGCAGCACCTCACTATCTTTCATGTGTTTATCATCACAACGCTCCTATGAGCTCGGGCGGTGCGAGCATCTCCAGTGAACAGATGAGGAAGGAAACCATAGAGAGGCCAAGTGACTCTGCCCATTGTCACACAGGAAGTCTGTGGGGGGGGCAGGAAACTGAACAGAGATTTCCCACTTCCTAGGCTAGTGTCCCACCAACCAGACCATTCTTCCTTCTCATCAGATTCAGCTACTGGGGTTTTGACACAAACCTAGCAGGCAGCTCGGCAACATGATTGTAGAGTAACTGTGCTGTAATCCTCCCTTTTCCTCACCCCAGCTCTGCCCTACTATTGTATTTGTCACCCTTATGTTTAGAATTTTAAGACACACAGAAGACTATCAGGGTACATCTAGACTACATTCTTCTTTCGAAAGGAGATATGCAAATTTGCATATCTTCTGATCGCTTTTTCGAAAGCATTTTTTTCCCCAAACGTGAAAGCAGTTTAGATGGGATTTTTTCAGAAGAACCCCCCTTTTTCGAAAGAAACCATCTTCCTTAAAAAATAAGATGTACAGGATTCTTTCGAAAAAGGGGGGTTCTTTCGAAAAAATCCCATCTAAACTGCTTTCACTTTCGGAAAAAATGCTTTCGAAAAAGCAATCGGAAGACGATATGCAAATTAGCACATCATCCAGAATTTGCATATCTCCTTTTGAAAAAAGAATGTAGTCTAAATGTACCCTCAAAGGCACAAGTGAAAGTTGGGCATCTAATTCCCACTGAAAGTCAATGGGAGGATGGGGATTAGTTGCCATTTGTGCCTTTTTTGTCTTCCTATGTCTCCCGTGAAGTGCCTGGTCACGCATAAAAGATAGAACTTCACCCTTCAGTGTCATGTAGGATAAATTCAGGGTCTGATTAGTTGAAATAGCCAAGCATTACCAGTTGTGACCGCCCACGAATGGAGGAGGCTTAGTGATGGGTTGGATAACTCAGGGATTCCACAGAGACTATGGCAGAATGGGACAAAATCAACAACTTGACTTGGCCAATAGGCCCTGAGTATCACTTGGCTTTTTAAAATTAATATTACTTTTTTGTATCGGGGCCCCATTGTGCGAGGTGCCCTGCCCACAAAATGAAAAGATTTCTCCTGCCTAAAGAGCTCACAATGAAAAGACACGGCAAGAGAGAACAGGTGGCTACAACAGCCAGACGAGGAGCACACGTTAGCACCGAAGCAATTACGATTAGTGTAATATGCCAAGTCTGGAAATGGCAGTCCTACATGGGGAATCAGCCTGCTCATGGCTGATGCTTGGAAGGTTTGTGGCAACTCTTTCTGCCACCGACACTTTTTTTTATTAGATTAAAATAGCTCTTGATGCAATTCTATTGGCAGGAACCTGGGATCAACTGTATCTATAAACATACTTATGTCTGTTTTATTCTGATAAACAACTGCAGTAAATTTTACTATCAACACCAGGGAAGACAGTGATTATACAAGAGAAAGAGCTGGAGATTAAATATTTCCATCTAAGCGCCGGGTGCGCAGCCCAATACCTCCTCTGTTCGGCCTGGTCTGAACTCTACTTTCTTGGAGCTGGGGATATAGTCAATTCCTGGGCTGGCCGAGGGAGGATCTGAAGTCCGAGTTGCACACCACACTGAGGTGGGGGTTGAGAGGTCAGTGCCGTGGCGGATCACTGGAATGTCAATGGTGCCTGGAGGCAAAGTTACACAGAGTAAAACCATGATTAGAACGTGGCTGGGAACAATCAAAGCACATCAATAGGTACCATCATGCTATGCCCTTTCCCTTCATACTGCCTCTGTCCATGGTACTACAGAAAGGACAGTGCCTTGCAGACAGTAATAACCAGAGCTAAGCTCCAACTTGGGGGCAGGATGAAGAAGTGCCAGAGCTGTTGCTGCCTTTTAGGTCTATAGCACACAGCTGGTTGGATGGTTCAGCTCTTTACACCACGCACTAGGAAAGCAGTATTTGTACTGAAAGTAACTCACAGTGACAACAAGCCCAGTTCCAGTGGAAGTACTGCTCTTCCTTACCTGCATCCTCATGGACAGTAAAAGTCGCGTTCCCCAGGAACACAGTGGAGGCGTCGTTGGGACCACTGATCACCACCTTGGCCGAAGCCACGCCCCCTATGCGCGCATTACTGGAGGCATCTGCCAGGACAATTTCAAACTCCTCCTCCTCCTCGTACTCGCTGTCATCGATCAGTTTGATGTCACAGGTTGACATGGTGACACCGGGCCCCAAAATAACACGGTTCTCATTCGACATCCCCCTCGACTTGAAGTCAGAACCTGACTCCAGTGCGTAAAGGCTGCTGCCTTTAGCAGATTTGGACAGGGTGTAGCAAATGGCAGATACGATGCTGCTGGTATCCCCTACAAAGTAACATACAAGGACAGAAGAGTTATTGCTAGAAAGTTACAGGAGCGGTAAAGGGACATAGGCTCACGTTAGGCCTGAAAGAACTCTGGTTTTAAACTTCGAGTTTGGATCTTCATGGAAGAGAGAGAGAAAGAGCTGACTTGTAGTCTCCCTGGAAATGCCAGTGTTATCTCAGTTAAGCTTTGGGTTAAGGTCACAGAAATTAAAAAAAAATGGGGACATGGGCATCCAGTGTGGAAAATAATTGGTGTGTTTACTTTATTATACAGAAATGCACAACTTTGTAGTTAGGAAATACAGCAAAATGAGACAAGGGATACGTCTACACTGCAACGCTATTTTGAAATAATTAGCACTATTCCGAAATAACTTAGTCCACGTCTACACAGCAGGCAGTTATTTCAAAATAGTGTCAAAATACTGTCAAGCCAGAGGACTTCTTACTCCAACTCCTGTAACACTCACTGTACGAGGAAGGGATGTTGGAGGCAGAGTGCTCTGTTTTGAAATAAGTGCTGTGTAGACTCTCCCTATTGCAAAATAAGCTATTTGAAAGATACGCAATTAACGTAGCTCAATTTGCATAGCTTATTTCAAGTTAAGCCCTGCAGTGTAGACGCACCCAAGAAAGGCTTGAAAGAAAAAAAGGGGCCCAGACAGGAATCTTGTCTGAACTAAGGTGGGGCAGAGTTCTGCGCTAACCCCCCTCATCTAGCTTTAAAGTCCAATGGCCGGCTATGACATCACTTGAAAGGAAGATCTATTTGCTGAAAAACCGGGAAAGCCCGGTAGCTTCAAAGAGCAATGGAGCCAGATGAACACATGTTGATATTTCAAAATTCTATTATCAAAAGCACCATCAGAGGGGGGAGTAAAGACGGTGCATGACACTGATTTATTGTGGGACCTTGTCATTTAATCTCTGTAGCTTTCAGTTTATCCATCTGTAAAATGGGCCTAACATCACACAATGGAACGTCAACTCTTATTAGTGAGTTAGAGTTTATAGAACAGCTTTAACTCCTGTGCTGAAGAGCACTATCTGGATGTGCAGTATCATGGTTACTGAAGGTAATAGCACAAACCTTTCCTTTCAATGGGGGCGGACAGGAAGCCAGCACTCTCGTTGACATGGTAAGTCTTCCTGTCAAACTGCAGAGTGGGTTCATCCTCGGTATCATTGATCATGACTTTGGCCTGGGTGATCTCTCCCAGCAGAGCATAAGCTGGCATGCTGAGCTCTACAGTGAAGCTCTCTGGGTTCTCAAAGATGTCATCATCATTGATGACAATGGTACATGCTTTGGTATCCTCCCATTCATCAAACTGCACCTGTAAGGAAATGAACAAAAAGTGGGTTTACAGCTGCAAAAGACATCCTCCACCTCCGCTCCCTTCTGAAAAGTACGGACACTCTGAAACTTTGTTAATAAGTGCTTTGCTTTTGTTCACTTGGGACCCAATCCAAAACCTACCCTTGTCAAAGGAAAGCCTCTCAAGTAATCTCAGTGAGGTTTGGAGCTGTTGGGATGGCAATATGATAACACAGGTCCTGAGCTCAGTTCTTCACTGAATTTCCCTTGTTCAGTCATATACAGCAGGACCAAGGGAAAGCAAATCTCTACATTCTCATTTCAGAGAGTTTTGCACAGGGACAAACAACTACACAAGGCAAAAAGCACTGGAGAGTCAGGCTCCTTGATTCTGATCTCACGCTAGTTTTGAGTCATTCCATTTACTTTTATGGAGTTACTCCCCATTTACACCAGTGTGAAAGACAGCAGAATCTAGGCAAGCCTATATTATACACAGTCTTTCAGAATATTCCCTTACAGCTATGGACTCTGTCCTCATAAAACACATACTTTAAGAGAACGTACTCTCAACCTAGACCCTCAGAACTCCTTAGATTCTTAAAAGTGATGTAGTCTAAAAGTCTACTTGACGGTTTTACCTCTTCTTTTATTGACGTGGGTTTTTTTTTTTGTATTCCATAAAGCTTACATGATGAAAACTGACTGATCATTTTCAGTTTTTGCCTCTCGTGCTCATTGAAAGCTGAAGTTGATTAGAGTCACAACACTGCAGAGAATTACTCGCATTTCAAAAAACTGGTTTCACGGATTTTTTTTTTCCAGCTTGTAAACATATTTCTAATCAATGAGTAATAGCTTAAGCAAACTTTCGTCTGAAAATCAAGAGCAAGTCCACTGGTGACAAACTGACGTGAGAGAAGACTCAAACGGACATGTTAAAAACAAATCTCAATTAAGGAATTTAACGTGCAAAATTTTAGCCACAGATATTAAGATGAGAAGGGACCATTAGATCATCTGATCTGATCTCCCGCATGCAACTCTTGGTCTCACCAGTGCCACATACAGTGGCAAAATCAGCTCCCCTAACTCTGCTCGCTACTCCCCGATTGATCCCTCTGAGGACTGTGTTAGCCCTTTCTGCCACAGCAATGCAGTGGGAGCTCATGTCTGAGTTGCTTGTTCACTACTGCCCTGCACTGGATTATGCGTATCCCACCCTGCAAAACAAGGTGTTAAGGAGCTGGCTCAGCCAGTCCCACTCTGCCACATGGCAAGGCACGTAGAGGCTACCGCAGAACAGCTCATTTGTGGGTCAAGCAGGGAAGACGAGACACCTTCAACCCTCAACTTCGGAGGATGTCAGTTTTCCCTAGGGCTATTTCTGGGGCATATAGTCCCGTAGAACTTCCCAACCCACCTGGCCTGCATACTCTACATAGTCCTGCTGTCCCGGCTTGGAAGTGATACTCGAGCTGGAAGTAGCTGTTCCCTGCTCTGTGCGGCACAGGACAATGGCATATTGGTGCAGGTTACCGATCCTCTTCACCGTCACGCTGACCAAGCCCGCCTTCTCGCTGACATTGTAGCTGGGAACGTACACAACGTGGAGATGTGTTAAGCACGTCACTCAGGCACCAAGGTGAGGAGCATGGTGTAAGAACCGGAATGGAACACACCCTAGTGGCACCAAGCAAGCCCACATCCAGTTTAACTCAAGCCTCAAAGGAAGGGGAGATCAGGAGACACAGTAAGGGACTGACAAATACGATGCGGCAAACTGTATTCTTAGATATGTGGATGCCACTCCCACTGAACGCAAAGGGAACACAGCTATCCAAACTCAGGCTGATAAATGCTACACAGTGTAATTCATAGGTCAGTGTTTCTTAAACTTTTTAAGATGGAGGAACACCAAACAATAATTTTTTTTATGAGGAACACCATGGGGGGTAGGGGGGGAATTATTGGGGAAAAAAGGGTTGGGGAAAAGTTATTGAGGAGAAAAAAAAAAACTTTCCCCCTGACCCTTTTTCTCCCCTACTTTTTTTTCCCCTCAATAAAAGGTCACCTGCCCCTTTAAGTGCAGCCATTTTGAATTCTGTTCTCCACAGCACTCCTCCGACTGCCTTGCAGCACTCCGGTGTGCTGCAGAACACAGTTTAAGAAACACTGGCATAGAGGTGGTGTGTTCTAGGGACTATGCTACTGGGCAGGGACTTGTGAGATCTGAATTCTGCCACTAGCGTCTGGGTTACCTTGGGCAAGTCACAGCAACTTTGTGCCTCAGTTTACCCATCTTTAAACAGGAGCTAACCTCACTCCCCTCCCTTGTAAAGCACATTGGGCTCTACTGATGAAAAAGCACAGTGTAAGAGCTCTCTCAGTAAACACTCATGGTAATTTCTCAATTGAAATTACTGGGTTGTATCTGGCTTCATTTTAGGGCTGATTCATCACTTGGGACTGGCCTTTATTCACACGCAGCATAATGGGGCGTTGAGATACACTAATAAACAATGATTATTGATCCCCATGGAATTATTCTCATACACTAGGCCCCGGCCACTTCCTAGCACGGCTGCATGAAAACCGAGAGCCAAAATGCAAAGTGAGTCTAAGAGTCTCTCTTTCTGTAGCCCCCTGCCTGTTATACCAACTGCTTACTGAGGTGTAACTTAACTTCCACCCACCACCAAATAAGGCCCTGTATGTCGGACAAGGCAGCTTACCTAGTGCACTGAAAGCTGATGAGAGACCACTGGATATGGAAGACGTTGTCCCTGACCATATTGGGCTTGCTGTCTTTCACTAGAAACTGAAAGCTATCCACAGTTTCCTGGATCTTCTCTTCAAGCAGCACGTACCGAATCAGTCCCAGGTTCACATCCTCTGTCAGGAAGAGAGTCTCCATGAACCATGCCAGGCATTCAGTGAGGGTATGTCTACACTACAGTGTTATTTTGAAAAAAACCATTTTGAAATAGTTAATTAGAAATAGCTTATTTCAAAATAACGTGTCTACACACAAAATGCATTTCGAAATAGCGTTTTTCTATTTCAAAATGGGTCCACGCTGAATGGACGTTGAATCGCATTTAAGGCTGGTTGGAACCAGTTCCGGCAGGGCATCAGGTCAGAAGTTGCCTTGTGGCCAAGGCAGCTAGCCGGGCACCCTGGGAAGGACTGGAGGCCCCCTATTTCGAAATAAGCGTCTTCACAGCACTTATTTCAAAATAGCAGTTTCGAAATTGGCACTATTCCTCATGGAATGAGCTTTACCAATTTCGAAATAAACCCTCCGCTATTTCAAAAAAACGGAATGGCTGCGTAGATGCTAGGAAAGTTGTTTCAAAATAACTTCTGTTATTTTGAAATAACTGCTGTGTAGACATACCCTGAGTGTTTTACAGGTGAAAAGCTTAAAGCTGCATCCTACATCCCTATGGGCCTGATTCTGATCACAAGATTTACATTGGTGCAACTCTAGTAGCTATTTGTCATTCACTCCGGTCCAAGAGCCATCACAAGTCACACTGCGTCTTCCTTGCGCTCCCGAAAAACCCACCTCATCTTTTCTTCCATGACTTAATAAAAAAAAAAGGATTTATTAAATAGGATGTTTTTTAACAAAATTTGACTGGTAGACTATTTTAATATAAATTTGCTTAAGCAGTGTTTAATTAAATCATGGTCTGTATTTTAGTGTGTGCCCCTTTAAGGCCACTATATAGCTACAGAGATAGAATCACAGAATCCTAGAATACTAGACCTGGAAGGTACCTCGAGAGGTCATCAAGTCCAGTCCCCTGCCCTTATGGCAGGACCAAGCACCATCTAGATCATCCCTGAGAGAAGTCTATCTAGCCTGCTCTGAAATATCCCCAGAGATGGAGATTCCACAACCTCCCCAGGCAATTTATTCCAGTGTTTAACCACCTGGACAGTTAGGAAGTTTTTCCTAATGTCCAACCTAAACTTCTCTTCCTGCAATGTAAGTCCATTGCTTCTTGTCCTATCCTCAGAGGCCAAGGAGAATAATTTTTCTCCCTCCTCCTTGTAACCCTTTCTTAAATACTAGAAAACGGCTATTATGTCCTCTCTTAGTCTTCTCTTTTCTAAAGTAAACAAGCCCAATTCTTTCAGTCTTCTCTCATAGGTCATGTTCTCTAGACCTTTAATCATTTGTATTGCTCTTCTCTGGACTGTCTCCAATTTCTCCACATCTTTTTTCAAATGTGGTACCCAGAACTGGACACAATACTCCAACTGAGGCCTAATCAGTGCAGAGTAGTGCAGAAGAATTCTTGTGCCTTGCTCACAACACACCTTTTTAATGCATCCCAGAATCATGTTTGGTTTTTTTGCAACAGTGTCACACAGTTGACTCATATTTAGCTTGTGGTCCACTATGACCCCTCGATCTCTTTCTGCAGTTCTCTTTCCTAGACAGTTGCTTCCCATTCAGATAGTCAGTTGTGTCTGAGCTTTGCCACAGTGTTAAACTGACTCCTTGACCTCTACCCATATAATAATATTGGGTCTCTTCCTTCATGTTAGCCGGGATTTACTTTACACAAAATGGGACGCGCTTGGCTGGGGAGTTCTGATGAAAAGAAGTAAGACAAACTCTGTGTTTGCCCATTATGTAGCAAAATGGGGCCTTGTTCTAGATTGGTACCTCTGGGATCTACTGTAACAGAAACAAGAAGGGCCAGATGGAGAGTTTACTCTCATGTTGTCCATGGGGCAGTGTAAATCCATCTCTCCATAGGAGCACCCAGAGAAGGCACTCTGAGACTCAAGTTTCTCCAGTGTCCTCCTTGCACTGGGCAGAAGTAAGTCATCAAAGCCTGAATTTTCAAAAGCATCCAAGTCAATTATGAACCTACGTTCCATTTTCAAAACTTATTTTCCAGGAGATTTAGGCTCCCGAGTACCTGAGCCCATTTTGTAAATGAAAACTTTTACCCAATAGTACTATCAAGTCCTAATTAGCCATTAATTATAGGTGTCTACCCAATTGTCTTGCAGAAGGCAATCAGAAAAGTAGGAATATATTATCTGGCCAAGGTAATATTTTCATTAGACAAGAAGAGCCAGAAGCTAGACCTACAGAAGGCATTTTTAGCTCTTCAGTGAGTACTGCAAACTGCATCCCAAACATTTTCAATTTATAAAAGAATTACTGGGGAAGTGACTTGCAACTCTTTAAAACAGCATGCCTCCAGAATAAACGCTGAAAAAACTTGGAAGTGTTTTTAAAAATCCAGCCATAAAACAAAATACTTCAAGGTGGATACCAATGTATGGGTGAGCCCAATCCAAACCTTCCATTCAAACACACACAAGCTTTGGTGATGTTCAGACCAAGGTGTAAAAACCTATGGTTGGCCCTAATCAAACCGACAGCTTCAAACAGCCCTGAGCACTGGGTTGATAGGGATCTGGATTCAGGACCACATCCATGGAAAACATTTGGTTTCTTGAACTGGGAGGAAAAATATCGAAGTTTGCTTCATTTTAAATTTAAACCCCCCCCCATGTTTCTCATACAGGGGAGAAGGACCTTATTCTCTTACTGCACTGGTGTAAATCAGCAACTGAAATCAGGGACATTGCACATCACAATCAGTCTCTGTGTTTCTTTAGTACATGAACTATGTTGCCATAGATCAATAAAATGCAGTCCTGCTTCCCTACCTTGTGTAAACATAGTCACAGCTGTCCCTGGTTTCAGCTTGTTCTCCACATGACCATGTTTGGGTCTAGTTGTTATCTCATAGATCAGCTGTTTGTCCTCTGTGTCGGGGTCCATAGTCAGTAGTTCCTTCTTGGTGATCAGATTTGTGGCCTGGATTAAAGCCACACCAGAGAGATTACACAATTTCTGAGATGCTGCATAGCAGGTCTGATGAAGGGGCTAACTGAAAGAATTGAACCGTGGAACATTACTTAAGCCATGTCTTCACTCCCCGGAAGATTGACACTGCTGCAATGGATCTTCCAGAGTTCAATTTTTGCAAGTCTAGTTAAGACTCACTAAATCAAACTCAGAGGTACCTCAGCTCCTGCACTTGCCAGGAGTGCTCCTGTCGGCCTCCCGCCATGGGAATACCACTGACCATAGCTTAAGGTGAGCTGACTCCAGCTACGTATTCTATGTAGCTGGAGTTGCGTACTTTAAGCTGAGCGGCTGAGTCTAATGTAGACCTGGCCTTAGAGAGGGATCATGCATTTCCCTAGACCAAAGGGCACACTCGGGTTTTTGCGAGTCCCAAAGAAGAGCGATGAGACATTTTGGAGTTTCTTGCGCCTGTCGCTCCCCTCCCTCTTCCGGGAAAATGAACGGGCCAGTTCTAACAGAGCTGAAAACAAGCTGTTACCATGCCATCCATGTACTCCAGCCACTGCAGGCCCAAGTTGGTGACAATTCTGGGGGTCCCATCATCTACAGGGAGAATGTCCACTTTGAATCGCTGCGGTGCCGCTGTCACAATCTAAGCAAGAGTCCAGACACAGAGGTCAGACCTTAACGAGCTTCCATGATTAATCAGATGAAACAGATGCAGGGGACAGGGGTTCAAATACAATCTGCATTAGCCTCTTTCCCCCACAGCATTAACAGAAAAATACCCAGTGCCAATACCGCAATGGCAGACAATATTTGCTGCTGGTCGACTTGACGCTGACTCTCTATAGCGCTGCTACCCTGTGGGGTCGGTAACTCCATTTCTTTACATTAGTGAAGATGCAAAGCACCTTTCCTCTTTTGTTGCAGCCATTTGAATGGACCAGATGATTTAAGACTACACTGCAATCACACTGCTGGGCAAAGCACAGGGCTAATATGATACCGCAAGAGAGCTATAATTGCATCAGGATAAATGTCTGATTCTCAGCTAGTGCAAATCCATGTAGTGCCTTGAATTTAAGTGGATTTTTATAATTTGGGGGTCAGATCCTCAGCTATTGTAAATCTACTTTTTGTCAGTCAAATTGATAAGCAGGAGGTTTAAAACAAACAAAAGGAAATTTTTCTTCACTCAGTGCACAGTCAACCTGTGGAACTCTTTGCCAGAGGATGCAGTGAAGGCTAGAACTTTAACAGAGTTCAAAAAAGAACTAGCTAGCCATTGATGGACCTAACCTCCATGAATCTATTAGCCAAGAAGGATAGGAATGGTGTCCCTCGCCTCTGTTTCTCTGGAGGTGGGTGACAGGGGAGGGATCACGTGAGGATTACCTGTTGTGATCCCTCCCTCTGGGGCATCTGGTATTGGCCACTGTCAGCAGACAGGCTACTGAGCTAGATGGACCTTTGGTCTGACCAAGTATGGCCGTTCTTATGTTCTCTACAGTGCCACAGGACTACTTGTTGTTTTTAAAAGTTACAGACTAACATGACTATCCCTTTGAGATTTAAAAATCACAAAGCACACAACACCTAGAATCCGCACACATACAATCAAAGCACTAACCCAGCACCCACGGACCAGCCATCACACAACCATTAACATCACGGAGATATGCCCATTTATACTCACAAAGGATCTGCCCCCAAAGGTATAAAATACAACAGCCCAACAAAACAGGACATTTTCAGGTAGCTTTACATCACTTACATCACTGTCGGCAGAGGGTTGTAAATTAAACGTATCAAAAGTGCAAATGAAGCCGGGATTTAAATATCCTGCGCTTCATTTGCATAACGGCAGCCGCTGCTTTTTTTCAAAATGGAGCTTTTAGGAAAAAAAAATCCAGCAGTTTAGATGGGGCATTTTTGACAGAAATGCCCTGTTTTGAAAGATCCTGTAATACTCATTTTTTTGATCTTTTGAAATGGGACATTTCTGTCGAAAATGCCCCGTCTAAACTGCAGGGTTTTTTTCAAAAAACCCTGTTTCGAAGAAAAGCGGCAGCCGCCATTATGCAAATGAAGCACGGGATATTTAAATCCCGGCTTCATTTGCACTTTCGATACGTTTAATTTATATCCCTCTGCCGGCAAAGGGGTATAGTTTAGATACACCCTTACAGGAAATCTCCCTCTTCCCCCCATTCTCCCTTACTTCTTTCCCTCCATCCTCCACAACGAAAAAGGGATTGGTCCCATCTGACACAGTGAAGGTGAAGCGATCCTTCAGGGAGTTGCTGCCATCGTGGCTGTAGGAGACCCGGTTCTGGTAGATGTCATCCATGGTGAAGGTGGCTGTCTGGCGATAGTGCTGCCCATTGCTGGTGTGTTCAATCAGCCCATGGCGAGGGGGTTGCACGATGGTGAATGTGATCAATTCAGCCTGCCCAAAGGAATGGGTGGGTGGAGAAGGGTGCAAAGCCAGTAAAACATCCTTGAGCAGGAGGGGTGGGTTAGTCTGGCCAACGGAGCTCGGATTCAAGCTTGTTACCTTTTCACCTGTCTTCTTTTCAGGTACAAGATTTCAAGAGAAAGACAGAAGAGCCCCAGGACAAGACAACTACCTTCTCCCAATGTCACCATCTCCATGAGGACAACAGTGGTCACGTGCTAGATCGGCCCCTCAGTTCCCCTGTCTGATATGCAGTCTCTACGGCCATGATTCATGCAGTAGCAGCATGCAAACACACTCGTTCTTTTGGCAGAAGAGCGCAAGCTGCGTATTCCAACAGTGAAATACTGTTGTTGTGCCCAGGGGACATGGTCCCATGGCTTGATTAAGAAATGACATGCTCAAGAGTAAGGTGGCTGACCCAGCATAAGTTCCTGTTGTGGCCAGCTGAGGCAGCTGGGAATTTCACTGTTTTAGGGGAACCGTCCCCAGGTGGAGTGAAATCATCCAAGGCAGCTCTATGCCCACTCATAGAAATGCCTCAGCATTGCAAGTGTAGGCCATGTCAGTTACAGCAGCCCTGGGCCTCCTCTCACTTTAATCGCAGGCGTTAAGGCTGTGCTGCCCCTTTGAAGTGCCGCTGTGGCGCTTCAAAGGGGCAGTGCAACGCGGAGCCTGAGATCAGCTGCGGACTCCCCAGCTGCCCCGGGCTCCACTACTCCTTTGAAACACGCAGAGGTGGCGTTTCAAAGGGGCAGCTGCCTCACAGGTGAGCCGGAGATCAGCTGTGTGGTGGCTGCCCCTTAGAAACACCACCTCCGCATGTTTCAAAGGGGCAGTGGAGCCCAGGGTCACCTGGGGACTCCCCAGCTGATCCTGGGCTCCGCGTGGCATTTCCCCAGAACCCAGGATCACCTGCACCTTTGAAACATGCATGGAGGCTGTGCTGCCGCTGCCCCTTTAAAATGCCGCCTCTTGGGCTCCTACCTTGCCCCCCCTACCTTGCCCACGGGCCTGCACAGGCTGTTGGCTTCCCTGTTTAGCCCTGTGCTGGGCAGAAAGACATTCGTTTCAATCCCTCTGAATGCAAACGCCGTTGTGCAAGGGAACAGGGAGAGAGGATGGGGGAGCAATGCAGGTCTTACCTCTGTGTCTGCATCTGTGGCTTTAAGCTCAAACTCCGTGATGGTTTTCCTCACCCCTTCCTGCACTCGCATCCCAGGGCTCTGCACCACAGGCAACGCGTCGTCCACTGGATTAATGGTGATGTGAAATATCTGGCTGACCTGGGACAGCAAGAAAAACAGGCCCTTCCTTGACGGACATGCCCTACTCTGGATGTGTCTTCAGTGTTGGGAAGAGCAAAATGGGGTCAGCTCATATATAACACTGCCCATTTTGATGCTTCTTTCCAACATCCTTGAACATTATGTCACCCTGCTACCCCTCTGCTCCCCACCTCACCCACGACAAATCCATCTGTACGAACAGCAGGAGTACATCCCAATGCTAGGTTATCAGCTTAGGAGGCCAGGCTTGTTTCATTTCATTTGTGTGTCTCCCATACGATGAAAGGGGAATTTACTCCCAACACATCCATCTGTTCTGAAGACTCGACCATCTGCAATCCGCTCAGAGAATCCACCTACCTCATTCGCTCCATCCGAGACGGAGAAGGTGAACGCATCAGCATGCTTCTCTGCCTCACTGGTGTGGATGTACTGGATGCTGCGCGAGGCCAGGTCTGCCTGGCTGAATGAGTTAATCCTTGTGCCTAGCACAAAAGGACAGGGAAAATGCACCACAAAAACGATGAAAAGCAACAAGAGCAGGGAACCTGAAACAACCTCTGGGAAGGACAGAAACACGTCCCCATCCCATACATAGCTCCAACACACAAGTGGAAGGACCATAGGCCGGCGCTTTCACAAGCACTCAAGAGCTGGCCTACCTCTGCTCTCTCAGCTTATGAGAGTTTTACTACTGACTTCAACGGAAGCAGAGTTAGGCTAATGGTGAGTGCTCCTGAAAATCTCACCTGTACAATTCTCCCGTCCTGAAGGACAAAATTATACGAAGTTGACTCACATTCTCAGCAGACTGACTGGGGTATGGTCATGCGGAGTACCTGTCAGTCTATGAGGAACAGTAAATCCCACAATTACATCATCTCTCAGATGACACACAGTGATGTCCCCAACAGGTTTTGTTGAACATGGGCAAAAGGTTCTCAGCTTTATTTGGTATAAAAAAAGATCTAGGATAAAATTTTCAAATGAGGTGCTGCAGAGAAAGAGGAACAGACGGGCACATGGTGGTGGTTGTGTCCAGGAATTACAGTTTTGGGAAGATATTATTAAAGAGATTCATCTTATGAGAAAATGCCAGCTTCCTAGAGATCCCCTGACCTGCTTACTAAATGCTCTAATAAAGGAGCTACATTGTAAACAGAAGAACAAATCAATTTTTTTTTTTTGGTAGCAGCAAGAATTTGTATTGCATTTTATTAGTAAAAAAATGATTTTTCCTCCTCTGGAATTATGGTATAAAACTATGGACTGTCCTTGTAATTGAAAAACTTTCACACCAAATATGTACACAAGGGAAGTGCAAAAAAACCAAACTGGTCATACTTTGTTGTGTACACAGAAGAGGACTCTCCCCTAGCCAACAAGCCAGCATCTTTAGTCAGGTTCTTTGACTATTAACTTGATTCTAAAAAAAGTAATATGTAGTGCACAATGTAATATGTTCACATTTTAACTTTGTCTTTATCAAAAGTTTCAAAACCAAACAAAACACCTAGGTCATTTTCAAAAGTGATTTAGGCACTTAGGGCCAGCTATTTAAAGGTATTTGGCTGCCTACTGATGCAGAAAAATACCTAGAGTGGGATTTTCAGAAGCACCCAGATGTCTAGCTCCCACTCATTTCAGGTTGCTCTTGACTGAAAACACCTGGATAAAATCTGCAATCTGCATTTTCTAACAAATTACTATCAATTAGTTTTCGGCCAACTTCAAAAGGTACAGAGGTTTGGTTTAGATAAGCAACAAAAAAAGTGGATGACTTTTTTTCAAAGCCTGTTTGATATTCATTAAGTTAGAAGGCTTGCAAAGACACACTTTCTTATGAGAGCTCCAGTACTTTTTGCTTAGAGCCAGGGCCAACGACACAACGGGAACCACCTCTTTCACAGAATTCCATCCTATTGACGTCTGATGCCTTCCAGATCTGAAAGAGCAGCCGCACCAGAACCAGCATACTTAACGAGAAAAAAGTTAATCCCGCTATTTCAAACTTCCAAGTATTAAGTTCAGTGTTTGGTTCGCATTCTAGGCAAAAGGTCTGGAGGAAATAAGAACGCTAACCACTTGTTCACCACTTTCATTTCTTTCTAAACCAAAACTATAAGGGAACAGATTGCTTTCTGAAAACACAGCAAAGATTTACAGTCCATTAATCTAATGATAGGTCACACTAAAAAAATAAATCCTAGATAAACAGAATCCAAGTCAAAGGAACATATTGTTTGAGGATACAGGTTTAGAGTAATTCATTAGACAGGATTAGCGGACACATAATATCCTGGGATAACTGGCCCTGGAAGGCAACCATAAGATTCAAAGATTACATTTGAGGGAACTGTTTTGTAAGACTCGCAGACGGAACAAAAAAGTCATTGGTAGGTCTCCAGAAAAGGTTTGTTTTGACCATACTTAAATATTAGGTGAGTCAGACAGAAGAATGTTAGCCAACTTCAGTGCTCAAAGTGGTCTCCCATAAAACTTTTGCCGACTTGGCTGGTACATCATACCTTGGGTATCTGGAATGTCTCCCCTCCCCCAACTTTGTGATTAAATTCATACATCTTAAGCAATGCAGAGGAAGAGGCTGGAGTTTTCATATCAAAGGGTGTGTCTAAACTACATGGCTCCATAAACGGAGCCATGTAGATTTGTTTGTTCAGCAAAGGGAAATGAAGCCGCGATTTAAATAATCACGGCTTCATTTAAATTTAAATGGCTGCCATGCTAAGCCGATTGCTTGTATCTGGGCGTGCCTGGTTTTACCTCAGTATCTTGCCCTTGCGGTCATACACATTTTGGGTACATCTAAACTACATGGCTCTGTCGATGGAGCCATGTAGATTTGTTTGTTCAGCAAAGGGAAATGAAGCCGCAATTTAAATAATCGCGGCTTCATTTAAATTTAAATGGCTGCCGCGCTGAGCCGACAAACAGCTGATCAGCTGTTTGTCGGCTCAGCGCGGCAGCCATTTAAATTTAAATGAAGCCGCGATTATTTAAATTGCGGCTTCATTTCCCTTTGCTGAACAAACAAATCTACATGGCTCCATCGACAGAGCCATGTAGTTTAGATGTACCCAAAATGTGTATGACCGCAAGGGCAAGATACTGAGGTAAAACCAGGCACGCCCAGATACAAGCAATGCTGGTTGTGAATTTTTGAGACATTTTGGAATCAGCCCTGAAGCATATGAAAATGAATCCCCTTATTATACGCAGCATGAATTTCAGTTTAGTCAGAGAGACTGTGAGTTATGCGCACTGCAGTTGTCTGAAATAGTGGATCACAAGAAAGGGAGATTCACACAAGCCAGTGGCATGAGCTACAGATCAGAATTGGAGTGCAGAGTAAAACCAGAAGGTGAGGTTATCATGGGTCCTAAACTATCAAGCAGTGGAATCAATAATTCTCTTTGTGGGTTACAGAACATGCCTCATCTCCACTGGCCTGTTTTTTAAGTTCCCTGGTTGTTTGAGATCCCCTTGAGGCTGTTATTCCAGCCAGGCATGTTTCAAGAAATTAACTTTTAAAAAGCTTTCAAGTCCCCAAAACCTGCGTCAAGAGGGAGTTTTGCAAACCTGGTGACGCCGCATGCTCCAGGTGACCCAGCTGCGGCTGTTTGGTGATTCTGTACAGGAGAGTTGCAGGCTCACTGTCCTGGTCAGTAGCAGAGAGCTGCAGCGTTGTGATCTTCTTCACTGAATTTTCATCCAAGACCAGCCCTTTGTTAGCTATGATGGAGGGGGGAAGTCTGTCCTCTGAAAGCAGCAGAGGCAAAGTGGCTTGAATTAGGATACAATCAAGTTATCCTCCTTGGTTTGTGCATGTACGCACACACACACGCACACATGTATACATATGCTACAGCAAACATTTTCAAAAGACAAATAATTTTTACCTGAGTATTTTATGTGGGGATGAAATACATGATGCTTCACCTAAATGTCACCAGAGCTAATCACAATCGCAATCGGCCTGAATCAAAAGGCATTCAAGCCAGTGGGCTTCAGTAGGCTTTGGAGCAGGCCTGACATGAATAATGAACTATTCTTTTAATAAGCGATCTTTCCTATGCTCCGGTTCCGGTGGGTTGTGAGTTGCCAATAAATGAAACCCAAATCATCAAGATTGAACTCTTTAATTCAAAGGTTTGGAGGCTTCTTGCTTATAGATGGATTTAAATTAAGTTTGAGTGTTTTTATTTAAAAAAAAAAAAAAAAAGATACTGTTCTAGCACAACCGGAAGTTATGGGCTTGACAAAGGAACTGATGAGTGAATTTATATGGTCTGTTACACTGACAGTCAGATGAGATCAGAAGGTCTATGGTTAGGGTCCTACCAAATTCATGGTTCATTTTAATCAATTTCACTGTCAAAGGATTTTAAAAATCATATATTTCATTATTTCAGCTACTTACAGCTAAAATGTCAGGGTGTTATACTTGTAAGGATCCTGCCACAAAAAGGAGTGTGTGTGTGTGTGGGCGGGGGAGGCAGGGATTGCAATATTGCTACTCTGTTTTTTGTCTGCGCTGATGCTGGTGGCAGTACTGCCTTCAGGGCTGGGCAGCTGGAGAGCAGCAGCTGCTGGCAGGGATCCCAGCTCTAAAAGCAGAGCTGCCCCTCAGTCAGCAGCCACCATTCTCCAGCCACCCAGTTTTGAAGGCGGCAGTACAGAAGGAAGGATGGCATGGTATGCTATTGCTTTCCTTGTGCACTGCTCCTGGGTGTCCAGCCAACAGCTGCTGCTCTCTATCGGCCCAACTCTGATGGCAGCACAGAAGTAGCAGTGGCAATACTGCCATCCCCCTAAAACAACTCCCTTTTGGGTGATGACACACAATCTGAGATAAGCTGGTCGCCCCTCTGAAATCAGTATAGTATAGGGAAAAAGCTCCCAAAAGGCCAGATTTCACAGTCTGTGACATGTTTTTCATAGCTGTGAATTGGGTAGGACCCTGTCTATGGGTGAGTTTCTGTGTTGTGCCTCTAAGAATCTAGCAACCTGTGACCGTTATCCTCAATTCTTGCATCAGAGAAATTCTTCTCAAGATATCTATGACTTTAGAGCCCCTTATGCCAGTCCCTTTATCTGGCACACATGTGTTGGTGCAGGCGTGAGAATCTCACTGTAATTATCTATAATCTTTCATAGCTAAGAAAATCTTGCTCACATAGCATCTTTTACCTAATACGCTAATATAGAATGCCTGGTCAACCAGTTTGTTGCCTTCTACGTCAATCACATCGAAGTTGAAAACAAAATGCCCTCCGGGCTCTCCCTTCTCATGATGATATTCCACTTGTCCTGGAGAGAAGGGGGAAAAATGTGGCATAATATAAGATGCAACATTGGCTGCTGCAACCTATTTTAGAATCTGCGTAGCTGGCAGAAATCAGAGATTGCTACCATTTCCAGATCTGTATGTCACCTCCCTCTCCCCCCGCTTCCCCTCTCCCGATTGTTTCTTTCCTTTTGAGAGAGAGGTTTTAAGCACTTGGTATTGAAAATCAATTTCCCTTCACAGGTCTATATCTGCTACTTTTCTTTCTCTCTTCTTCCAGCTCCACATCACCATCCTTCACTGTAAAGATGCTGGCTATTTTAAAAGTACACTTCATGCTACACTCTGGGTATGTCTACACTACAGCATTATTTCGAAATATCTTATTTCGAAATAACGCTTCTACACACAAAATGCATTTGGAAATAGCTTTTTGCTATTTCGAAATAGCGCGTCCACACTGATTGGACGCCGAATCACGTGTAAGGTCAGCTGGAACTGAATCCGGCAGGGCTTCAGTCAGAAGTTACGTTGTGGTCACGGCGGCCAGCAGGGCACCCTGGGAAGGGATGGAGGCTCCCTATTTCGAAATAAGCGTCTACACAGCGCTTATTTCAAAATAGCAGTTTTGAAATTGGCGCTATTCCTCATGGAATGAGATTTACCAATTTCAAAGTAAGCCCTCCGCTATTTCGAATTAATTTCGAAATAGCAGTTGGCTTGTGTAGACGCTAGCAAAGTTATTTCGAAATAATGGCTGTTATTTCAAAATAACTTTGCTGTTTAGACATTCCCTGAAGGTGTGTCTAG